ATTAATGTGGAAGAATTACAATGAACAATGCATGTAAAGTTTTTAAAATGATTTCTTTTTATTTGAAATGTCAGTGTTTAAGAGAAAATAAAACAGAAATATAAATATTAGCATCAAAATAAAAGTAACACGGGAGTGAAGCGTGGAAGAGGAGGACTAAGCGTTCGATAAGAAAGATAATACATCAGGATAGAGTAGGATTAATTCAGCAGCGGACAGACTTACACATATATAATATTTATAATCATTTTGTTCATATGGACAGAAAGAGAATGGGAGGCATTATTTCACAAATGCACAAGAGAAAATTCACTGCAAAAATAACATTAAGAGGTTACAGAAGGATAGAAACATTTCCATGGTTCTTTTTTTGTCTTATTTCTTTACAATGGGATAAAAGATAGAGAAAAGAGAAAATAAACACAGAAATATGCGCAACACATACCACAAGATAACTAGTCTACGTGTGTCACTTTGCTTACTTATCTAAAGTTATCTTTAATTCATTTATTTACACTGAAAAGTTAGTTGGCTTCCATGGTGCTTTAGTTACTACATTGCAACACAAACGCTCAAAGAACATGTCAGGTTTTATTAATTTTTTTGTTTTTTTTTTAAGTGTGTTTTTTTTGTTGTTTTTTTTTTTTTTCTTGAAAAACATAATGCAACACATTCCAGTAGCGAGCCTCGCCTTGTTGAGAGGACCTTTTATTGTGAAAATCCGGGGGGACGAGGTCCCTGCTTTAGAAACTCTTGCATCATACCATCGACCGGATTCATGTTTATTTACAGAGGGGGATCCGGTCTCACAGAATGAAGAGTGGTGGGGTGGTGGGGTGGGGGTGCAGAGAGGTGAGAGACAGATTGGATTTTCCCATTGATTACAAATAAGAGGAGCTGCTTGGGACAGCTGTGCTTGGTTGACCTCTACCTGGGTCCATGCTTCACACAACATTAGGGGGTGGAGATATGGTGGGCAGGGGTTCCTCTGTACATTCAGTGGGTAGAGCCAATGTTGCATCCCTTGCCCTTCACCCCCCCCCCCCCCAGTTTGGCACAACAATGCCACCTTGATCCATCTACCTCTTACCGCATCCCTTCCACCACCCACGCAATCCCATCTGTGAGCTGCCTTGTTTATCTCCATGCAGGTTTATCAAGGCCAGAATCCTGACAGACAAATGGACGGCAAATTAAAGACTTCAACAAACTCCATTATACTTACTGAATTATAATCTTCCAAAAGAAAAGAAAAAAAAAGGAAATACCACATCAAGAAATTTCTTCAGCACCTCAAGAAAGTGAAGGGAAAAGCTTCATCAAGGCCCTAGAGGCTTACAAAGTGTCCAGAAACTCCTAAGCACTTAAGTTTACCACATCTATGTTTCCCTAAAGAGTGTAGTGATTCCAGCTCCCCCGACATGATCTCTTCTTCAGAACATGGACAGTGCATTTCTCCTCAGTTTGGCTCAAATTGTGGGGTAGTGGGTGAGGGACGGAGGCAAGCTAGTTGCGAGGAGAGGGGGGGCAGCTGCGATGAGTCTGTACTCATCCTGAGGTGTTACATAAAACTACTGACTAATGCCTGCCCCCCACCCCATCTTCTGCCAGCCCCTTCCCGTGGGTGCATGCTCAGGTCATAAAAAGGTTAAACTTTATTTTGTCCTTCTTTTTAAAACTAGGATTACAAAAGTAATTCTCATTTTGCGTCAAGTAAATGCTACACGTGCATTCTGTTGACTCGTGATTGGAGGGAGGAAATAAAGATTCAGGATGTCCTCCTCTTTGCTTTTGCAATGCATAGTTTGCAAACTCTAAACTATACGTGGTTTGAGCTTTAAAGAGCATGCAGAAAAGTCTGTAATACCTGTCGGAACAGCAGCCTTTATGCTAAGGCTCGACCCTACGGAGGAGTATAATGGATGGCAACAAGTGTACTTTACAACAACTTTCCCCGCTTCGAGGAAAAGTGCGCAATAAATCCAACATGAAAGACATTAACATTTCATCTCTGAATACATCATTGTGTGTAGCCTTGTCATCCCAGCAAGGTTTGTTACACTAAATCTCTTTGTCCAATAGTTTCTTTTTTTGTTGTTATATTTTTTTCCGTTAAAAGAAAAAGAATGCAACAGTAACCCCTCATACCGGCCAAAAATACCTACCCACAAATATTACATTAACAATATCAGATCTTTAAGCAGGGATTAGTAACCAAAAAAAGAAAGAAAAAAATCTCCAGCACATTTTGGATTCTTCAAGGAATCACCAACAGCAATCCAGTAGAGCAGTGAGATACTTAGTGGAGGGGTGTGTGGATGGGGTGGGGTTCAATTTCTTGTCGCATCATCCTCCCGACACCTCGCGCCGTCCCACGTTTTACTTCTTCTCCTTCTTGGTGGACTTCTTCTTGGAGGCCGGGGTCTGGGCCGCCTTGGGGGGCTCGGCCTGGGCCGAGGACTGCGGTGGGGGCAGCGCCTGCTGCGTGGCCTGCTGGGCCATGGCCTGCTGCTGCTGCTGCTGCGGGTTGGAGGTGAGGGTGGCCGTGCTGCCCGGGATGTAGACGTTCTGGCGGTAGTCGGGCACGTGCTGCAGGGTGAACTGGGGGCTGTAGCGGGTGCTCAGACCCATGGTGCCGGGCCCGAGGGTGGCCGTGGCCTCGCTTACTTCTGGGGGGAAGAGAGACAGAGTTTGGGGGGGGTGAGGAGGGGGGAGAAGGTGTGGAAAACAGAAGGAAAGGGGGGTGGGTGAAACGTGTTAAAAGTGCTGGAAAGTGACCGTGGCAGTGTTAAGAAGCAGTGAAATGAGAGTTTCAAGCTTCTATGGCAGATAACAAAAACAAAGCTGCAGCAAGCAGAACAGAAAACCGAACAGAACACAACACAAAGAAACAATGCAGCGCAGTAAAAGTTGATGCTGTGCAGGACTGCTTTAAAGGGAGGAGAAAGCGGTCTTAAAGGAGTGCCTGCTTGTGTTAGTGGATCTCTACTGGGCATGCTCTGTTTCTGGGAGTGCATGACGTCACTGCTCAGCTCATAATTCTCTCCCACAGCCCCTGCATTGCAGAACCAGAGACGCAAGCGCTACCCACCCCCCCTCCCCAAATCCCAAATCTTAGCTCTCACACATTCAGACAGAGCCTGTCATGCTGGTTTAACATAATTAAAACTACAATGAATCCATCTTGTCGATCAACACAGTGACGTTAAACAACAAGAAGTAGTGACCTTGACCTTCTGTGTTTATTGCACTGTTTGTCCTTTTTTGC